GAAATTGGCTTCTTAACTTAGATATATGCAAGGAACTCTCAGAGTTTGTGGATCGCTGCAATTCCTTGAACGGTTAAAGGAAATTAATGCAGTGCTTATGTGCCCGTGCTGATCAACATTTTTTTCTAGTATATATTGTCAGAATTCAAAAAAAGAAAAAAGAAACATGATCATCTTAGAAACTTAAGGGAAAGTGAAAGTCAAAGTTCTGAAATAACCAGATATGCTTTTTTAAGAAAATTTATTTATTTTTACATGGTGCTGAGGATCAAACCCAGTGCCTCACATGTGCTAGGCAAGCTCTCAAACACTGAGCCACAACTCCAACCCCCAGCAGATATGCTTTTAATTAGTGTTTTTAGTTTGTAGTCTCCTAGACCATAGACTCCCTGATGATGTTCCATTTAAATTAAGTAAAATTTTCAGTGATCTATGGCAAAATGAAAAATTAGCACAGTGTAATGTATGTATTTGCATAAATTTTAGATGTCCTTGATTTTTGAAAAATGTCTACTTTTTAAGCTATAAATTTATTTTAGAGAAGTTTTAGATTAAAAGAAAAGTTATAAAGAAATAATACAGGGCTGGATTGTGGCTCAGTGGTAGATTGCTTGCCTAGCATGAGTGAGGCACTGGGTTCAATTCCCAGCACTACATAAAAGTAAACAAAATAAAGGTATAAAATATTTTTTAAAAAAGAAAGAAATAGTACAGGGGATTACACTCCTCTCCCATCCATTTTTCTTACTGTTAACATTTTATGTTACTGTGCTACATTTGTAGTACCAATATTGATACAAAATTATTGGATTTTATTAGTAAGTACCCTTTTTTCTGATTGCAAACCTCTGGGATATCACATTACATTTAGTCTACAGTGCTAAGTAAAATTTCTCAGGCTTTTGAGAACAACGGTCTTTCTTATAAGTCAGGATTTGTGTTCCCTGCTTTCTTTTGTCTTAATATTCTTGTTTGGGAAAATAAGAAGTTGGCAACCCTCTGTCAGTTTTACTGGTCTGTGAAATCCAAAAGTCAGTATGATGATGATTAACAATGAAAAAGTCTCCAGGTTTTGTAACTTTTATTCAGTAGTAACTGCTATTCCCATTTATCCACCCTCTCTACCTCCACCCAACCTCATTATAGTCTGACTTTAGCCCCTTTAATTTTACCTGAATTGTGCTGGCAGAAACCACCAATGATTTCAGTACTCTCCCTCCCTCATCCTTCCTTCTTTCTTCCTTCCCATTCATTCCCTTCCCTCCCTCCCTCCCTTCCTTCCTTCCTTCCATTTCTTATCTTTCTTTGCAGCATAAGAAATAATTCTTTTGCATTTTCTTCCTGGGTTCCTGCCACACTACAATTCTTATTCTCCTTCCACTCTGATTTTTCTTCTTTGCTTATTTCATTTCTCCCCCGTGCATTTTAAATGGTGACCCTGAGAATTTCATCTCCTGCCCTTTTTCTCCTTTTGCTTATACTTATCCTTGGCTTTAATCATCATCCTTGTTCTTACTGAACTCCAATCTCAAATTCAACCCTCTTTCCTATATTCAGTTACTTCCTAAGTTAGTAAATATCCATGTTGATTGTCCCATATTCAAACCAGAAAATAGTTGTGGTTTGATCTTAAATATATGAGAGGTAATAGGAAATTAAATGATATCTAGGCAAATAAGGCCTGAATTGCTAAGATTTCATCAAGTTGGCAAAGAATAAGTCATATATTTCTTTTGCACTTTTTAAAGAATATGGTAGTTGTAAAATAGTTTAAACTTATGTGTCACCATTATCTACCCATAATTTTTACCTTTAGCAGACCTTAACTTAAAATTGGAGTGGCTCCAGTAGCTTTAATCTACCTCAGTTTCTTTGCCCAGAATAAGATAATATCAGAGGAGAATGCATTAAGGGGTTGAGGGTATAAATGGATAGTCTGGGATGCCAGCAGAAAATGTAGTATATGCCAAAGTTTTTTGAACCCTGGTGCAGGTAACCTTGATCAGGGAGTCCAAATTGTTTGTTTCTTGGTACCAGAGAATTCCTGATAATGAGTGCTGGAAATACTCTGAATTTTGTACCAACTGTATAGTTTTACTGTTAATTTTTTAAGAAAATTTTAGTTGTCACTGGACCTTTATTTTATTTATTTATATGTAGTGCTGAGAATTGAACCCAGTGCCTCACACATGCTAGGCAAGCGCTCTACCACTGAGCCACAACCCCAGCCCAGTTTTACTGTTAATTTTGATAATATGTTTGTTTTGACTACATTAAAATAGGGAAAGGTGTTAATGAAACAAAGATTCTCCTTGGGCATTTTAAATAGGGAGTAGGGAGATGGGGGACTGATTATAAAATAAGATTTTAGGTTAAGTAGTCTTAAATTTCTTTATGTCATGAAAATCTAATGAAGCCTATGCACAATTAGAAAAATTTGTATATATGCAAATTGCCTACAATTTCAGGGATTCACAGAACTGAGGCCCATTTAGACCCTGCTAAGTCAATTTCTATATTTTTGGACAGCTTTTTTCTTTTTACTCAATTCATGATGAGTTGAACTTGTTGTGGAGAAGATGCTACTGAAAGGTATAGGTTTAATTTTTATAAGGGATATTTAGTTATAATTTAGAAACATCTCAAATTTAAATGTTTTTTGTTTGTAATAAATACACACATACATTCACATAGTCTGCATGCCATTGATTATAATATGATTGAATGAGATATATGAATTAATCACAACTAAAAAAACTCAGTGCATAAGACAAACATTATTCTCCTTTTGGAGCTGTCATTTAATTTGTGGTATCTTAGAATGTAGAGCTGCTGTATAAATTTTTTAAATACAACTCAACTTAAAATTAATTTTGTGGAGCAGTATTTCAATACATGCTCTTGAAATAATTGTACAAATCTCAGGAGTTCAAGATTTTAGCACAAGATCACTGACTCATATCATCCAGTAGGGATGAATGGGGAATGATGAGCTTGGTTACATGGAAAGTATACTCGTTAATTTATAAATTCTAGTCATAACTATAGTTCTCTGTTATTTTGAGTACTTTTTGTTGGTTTCTTTCTTGCCTTAGATTACAGACTAATAAATCCAATGTTGGTTGATTTTAGCAAAAAGAGTAAAATAAAATTCTGTATTAGTGGTTCTCAATCTCAGTTGTTTTGACATCTTCTTAAAGATTTATATATTATTTCAGGCCCTTAAATCTGCTTTTTTCCTCTAACTTATCTCAGAAACTTACCTGCTGATTTGTAAATTTAGTGTTAGATAAAAGTAATAACATATCAGGTACATTTTATTAATTTTAGTTAGCTCCAGCAGGTTTCCATCTCAGTCTGTTGAGTTGAGCTGAAGGCAGAGTGATACTGAAAAAGATGGCAGGAACTAATATAAGGAGGGGGCATATATTAATATGGTCACAAAGTGGATGTTAAATAAATATGCCTGTGTGTAGAGAAACTCCTGTGAACCTCTTTTGAAAAATAAAAATGTAGACTAATGCAGTAACATTCAAACTACTTGTTCATTTGCTCACTTATTCATTTTTAAATAAAATTGTGAAATGTTTAATAGAAAATGTATGAGCAAAACAAATATGCATGCCATCATAATTTTTCCTTGAAAAAACTGATTCTGAAAATGGACATATAATGAATGACACATGCACATCCACAAAATGTGGTCATTACTAATGCAAAGTGTTATAAAGACAAGATTGAAAGTCATAGGACTTTAAATAGCATGAACAAATGAAATTACACATCATATATTTTATGGAGCATACAAATGTAGTTAGTTTGCATAGTTCCATATTTGCTGTTTCTAAGATCACAAAATAAAATTTTAAAACCAAGAATAATAGCAGGTAAATACCATAAATAATACTGTTAAATTTCTGATAAACTAAACAAAATATCCTTCTAGATAATTGGGAATTCCCAGATCTATCTGCTTAATGGAAATGTAAGAATGCTAAGCATTAAATGGTAGCCAGATTGATTAGTGGATTACTGAATTAGAGTCTTCAGTAATATCTAAAAATCAATCATTTTAAGTTTGTGGATATCAAATAATTGACTGTTAATAACTTAGTACTAGTTGAAGTACTAGTAAATAGTTTTTGAGCATTATTTTTAAAAATGAGAAAATCAAAGGAATTTCTAATCATTTGCCCGTTAGCAAAGATAATGTAGTTGGGGATTGCTTTCAGTCTGTCAGAGGGTTCCCAAGATCTGTCAAGGGAGTTACAACTTTGGAAGGGAATAGAGTATTATAGAAATAAGATATTGATATTTTTCTCATCAGTGAAAACTTTTCAGTAGAGATTATTACCAGTGTACCTTGCAAGATTTTCTTCTGAATTTGAGGCCACTATATGTGTTCCTCAAGGAATATTATATTCATATTGGTGTTTCAGTATGTCATTTGATACTGTAACTGGCACAAATAAACAATCGATGGAATGAATCTGGGCAAGACAGTGTGTGATGCATTCTAAGTCCTCTGGGAATAAAGCTGTTTGAAACCAAGTTGATCTCGGTGTAGAAGAAGTAAAAATACCTTCCTCTGCCCTCGGACATGGTAGATGCATATTAGCTATGTAGGACTGCCATATCCCTTAGGAATACTCCTAAGAGAAGACAAGACAAGTAATATGCAGAATGAAAAAAAGGAATTCAGTAGTGAAAGAAGCTTTGTCCTCGAATAATTCTATTGGTCTCCTATATGATTTTTTAATTTGTATTAATATATCTGAAGATATGAACTATTTTTATTACTGAAGGTATATTTTGTTTATATCTGAAAATAATATACCTGTTTACTTGCAAAAGAAAAAAAACAACTCTTCTAATAATTAGATTGAGTCTATCTGCAGTTTAATTATATATGTAATCTGATCAATTAAATAAAACAACTTATGAAGTATCATAACAACTAACCTTATTTACAAACATTACTTTTTCTCATTTGGTCTTAGGGTTTTGACCCACCACATCAAAGTGACACAAGAACTATTTACATAGCCAACAGGTTTCCTCAGAATGGCCTTTACACACCTCAGAAATTTATAGATAACCGGATCATTTCATCTAAGGTAAAGATTAACACTTTTATTATTATTAAAATTGTAGATACATAGCGTTTTATTTTGAAAAAGGATTTATTGTGTGTGTTCAAGTTTATTTTGTATCCTTACAAAATAAAATGTGGTTAATAGATTTATCTTAATTAAAATGATGAGTTATGAAATAAAAGGAGTTGCTGGTTGCTGTAATCAGGTAGCCAACATGCCAAAAAATTACCTTTAGTTCTAATTAAACTAAGGAGCTAATACTTATATTTATGTGCTAGGTAGTATATTCATTACTTCTCATATCATTTAATCCTGAAAACAACCCTGTGAGATAGCTATTATTGAATCTATTTTACAAAGTGTTATTATACTCATTTTACTTTTCTTTTAAATTTATGCTGGGGTATTTAATTTTCCCATGTTTACACACTAGTAAGTGACTAGACTGGAGTTTGAACTCCATTCCATGTGACTTTAAAGCCTGCTTGCCTCCAGTCTTATCACTTTTCTGTAAATGTTTTATGGTACCAAACTACTGCTTTACTCTTCTTCTTCCTTGTTTCATTTTTCTGTGTGACATTTTTAAGATGTCTTAGTTTATTTGAAGTTGAAGATTATACAGGAATGCTATCTAATAGACTTTTCTCTCATGTTGGAAATGTTTTCCGCATTGTTCAATATGATAGCCATTAGCCATATAGGGCTGTTGTGGCCTTGAATGTGACCAGTGCAACTGAAAAACTGAATTTTTAATTTAATTTAAATGTCAAGAGCCATATGTGACTAGTGGCTATCTTATCGAACACTACAGTTATAGAAGATTGGAGTCAATAGAAATTGAGTGTAAAGTTCTTAAGTCATAGCTAATGCTTGATAGAACACTGTAAGAAACATCTTCCCTCCTTTCCAGAGAGACTAATATTTTTTCTGTAATTCTGATTTCATCTTACCTAAGGATGTTGTCTTAGTTCAGGTGTTTCTTTGTCCTACCCCTTTTTTTCTGCTTTCACATTATTTATATATATGACATACCCATTAATGATGTCTTTTATTTTGGACAATAGCTCTAGAGCAGCAGGAGGAAGAGGAAATACCAGAATCTGTGATGATGGAGGAGCTCTATACTAATGACATAGTTTTTAGTAAATTATGTCAGAAATTAACATCCTTGAAATTTTTAAGATTTTCCTTAACTTGGAGTATTATTTAAATACAAGAAAATTCATCAGTTTTAAGTGTATAATTTGATAACTTCTGATAAATATATACCATGTGACCACCACCACAGTCAAAATGTGCAATATAGCTATCACTCCACAAAGTTCACTCATGCCCCTTTGCAGCCAGTCCCCCTCCTCCTTACCCTTAGCATTAGCAACCACTGATCTGTTTGCTATAATTATAGTCCTGCCTGTTCTAGAATTTCATATAAGTATAATCATACAGTTCAGATCTTTTGTATCTGACTTATTTTTACTTAACATAATGCTTTTGAAAGTCAGGTTTGTTGGTACAAGTGTCAGTATTAGTTTATTGCTTTCCTAGTGTACAGTTTAGCTGCTAGCCTGGGTTTATATCATTTATATCCTGAATTTGTGTCATTTTCTTTGTGTGGTTCTCTTGTATTTTCCCCTTACATTTCCAGCTAGCTTTATAACTCTGAGCGCTAATATCTATCACATTTTTATATTTTGGTGAATAGGTCACGGTTGTCTTCTGTTTTGCTGCCATAGTTGTGGAAGTTGAACAGTGTCTCCAAGCTACGAAGTCCAAAATTTCTAGTTCTGTTTTCTTACAATTTTTTTCTTCTTTCCTTCCAAACTCTCTTCCATTTTAAAAACACTTTTCAGGATTTTAAATAGTTCTTAAATCTTTTTTTTTTTTTTTAAATTTTTACCTACTGGGAGTTCACAGGACCACTTCATTAAACTCTTCTGCCAATACAGAAAGCTGATTGTCCTTCCTGAAAACTTTTAGAATTAAATAAATGCCACTGTGTGGCTTATTTCATAAGCAGGAGTATTGTTTCATATTTTGACCACAATTTCAAAAATATAGATGTTTAAATTAACATTGCCTTTTTAAAAACTTTTTCACCATAAATAAAGACTGTCATTACTACCTTCTTTCTTTTTTATCATGCCACTATTGCTTTCATAACTTCCTTCCCAACTAGATTACTTGCTATTACGAATGCTCATGTCAAATTTGCCTACCAAGGTACCTTTGCTAGATTCCTTCCTGTTAGCCACAGCTTTTAAAATGTAAAATTTTGTGGAGATTCTAGATTTTTTTAAAATATAGAATTCATGTCTTTGAACCCGATTTTAAGATTGTAGATATTTATGTAGACACTATTACTTTTTTCCTGAATGTAAGTGAAGCCTGACTCTTGATTGTTCTCTTTTTACTATCTTTTTACCATCCTGTTATCTCCTTAAACTCTTTCCAGACTGTGTTATCTTGTCCCACAAATCCATGATGAATTTTCTCATACTGTCCTGTCTTTCTCAAATGTTCTCCGTTATTTGCTTTTAGTTTTCAGCTTGTTGAATGTTCCTTGTTTAAAGCCCCCATCAAATATGACCCTCTTCATTAACTTTTTCGTTCTCATTTTCTCCTTTTCCTTTGAATTATTCATGTTCTTTTGTTTCCTTCATCTTTGAATACAACTGTTAATATTTTGTTCTTAACCTCCTCTATTTAATAATAAGTTTCTTTGTTTCCCCTATCAATTAAGTGTTATACACATTTTTAGGTACATGATCTGCTTTATTTCCTTTCATTGGCCATAGTAAGTACCCTATATTGAATTTAAACTTCTTTGTAAAATATTTAATTTCAATGGGTATAGTAACACATGCCTGTAATCCAGCAGCTTGTGAGGCTGAGGTATGAGGATTACAGGTTTGAGACCAGCCTCAGCAACTTAGCAAGGCCGTAAATGACTTAGTGAGATCCTGTTTCAAAATAAAAAGGGCTGAAAATATAGCCACCCAATTGTTACCAAAAAAAAAGCATGTAATATTGCACCAGAGGAAATTAGATAAACTGCTTCTTCAAAAATTTTAAATTAATTTATTGCTTTTCGTTTTCAACTTGTTGAATGTTCCTTGTTTAAAGCCCACATCAAATATGACCCTCTTCATGAACATTTTCTTTCTCATTTTTTCCTTTTTCTTTGAATTATTCATGTTCTTTCATTTACTTTATCTTTGAACACAACTGTATTTCACATTGATTAATTTAAGATTTTTGAAGAAACAGTTTATCTGATTTCTAAAAAATCAACAATTTAGTAGCAAAATTGATAAGTTCCAGTTTATCTAATTTTTAACCACTAAGGCTTCATTATCTGAAGTCAGCATATTTGAGGGGGAAAAAACTTATTTTGACCATTTTTATTTATTCATTCACTGATTCTGCAAAATTTTTGATCTCCAACCTTGGGCCAAGTGTAGCTTAAGTACCTGAAATACAAAAATAGATAAAATAATGTCCCTGGTCTCCGGGATCTTACATTCTCCTGGGAGAATAGACATAGGGTAAAGTAAAAGTTCTATAAACTATCTCCCTATTTTATGTATAAAGTTATGTTGTGTGTAATGATGCAAATAAAATCTTTAGTATATTACCCTGTCCCTATAAACAGCATTATGAGCTATGAACTGAGTAATTAATAACAAACACGTAGCAATTAGGATGAGCCACGTTCTATTCTACATCTTCATTTATTAGCTTATTTAATCTTTTTAAGAACCCTATAAGATATATGCATTATTATTATCTTCATTTTATAGAGGAACAAATGTGGGACACAGAGATTAAGTCCAAGGTTATTTATTTAATGAGTGTTATAATTAGGATTGGGGCCGCAGTAGTCTAAGCCCCAAGCATCTAGCTCTTGACCATTAAAATCTACTGTCTTTTTAAAATTGACATTGTAACAGAGTTTCATTTCTCTTCTTGAGACTTTTTATTATTTATTTATTATTATTAATTTTTTATTTTTATTAGTTATACAGAATAATGGGTTTCTTTGTGGCATGTTTGTATGCTCATGTAACATACTTTGATCATTTACAATCACCTGTATGAAATTGTTTATGGTTTTCCCACTAATAATTTATCTGAAACATTCTTATTTCCTCAACATACTAGATAATTTTTCCATATTCTGTACAAAAAAAAAAAGATAACTGAATAATTTGACCATTTTCTATTTCTGACACTGAACCAAATGAAATAAATGTTATCTAGTGTCAGCATTTCCGTCAACTTTTATTCATGTTTACCATTATTTAATTTTGTATAACAAAGTCCAAAATAAATTATTAAAATATTGTCTTAGACCTGCCTTCTCTAACTTCTAAAAAATCAACAATTTAATAGCAAAATTTATAAGTTCCAATTTATCTAATTTTTGAAAAATGCATTAAAATTACTAATAGAGGAAAAAGGAAAGTAGAATAATAAGAACTACTGAAACTAGAAACCAGAGACTAGTTTCTATAGCATCTAGAGTTACAAAAGTGGGCTCAGTGGTGCACACCTGTAATCCAAGCTACTCAAGAGGCCAACGCAGGAGAAATCTTGAGTTTGAGGCCAGCCTGGGCAACTTAGTGAGACCCTGTCTCAAAATAAAACATAAGAAGCACTGGGGATGTAGCTCAGTGGCGGGTTCAGTCCCTATTACCACACATGTGCGCGCATGCACACACACACACACACAAAGGAAAAAAAAAACTATATGAATTTGATGATTTAGTAAATCTGATTTTACTTTTCTTATGTTTACATCAATATAGCATATATTATATTATTTTAGGACATTAATTTATTGATACCTTTTTTCTTTCTTTTTTTTTATAGTATACTGTGTGGAATTTTGTTCCAAAAAATTTATTTGAACAATTCAGAAGAGTGGCAAACTTTTATTTTCTTATTATATTTTTGGTTCAGGTAAGCTTTATCACTTAATGGATTATTGTTTGTAAACATGTTTTCTAAAAATATGTCTTAGAATAGGGAAAAATTACATTGTGTTCTTAGGTATTTGACCATGGGATCATTTTTTTTTTAATATTTATTTTCTAGTTTTCGGTGGACACAACATCTTTATTTTATATTTATGTGGTACTGAGGATCGAACCCAGCAACTCGCACATGCCAGGCAAGCGCGCTACCGCTTGAGCCACATCCCCAGCCCATGGGATCATTTTTTTAAAATAAGAGGTGTCACAATGTAGTCAAAGAATAAATTCTCTAAATCACATCTAGATTTCTAAAAAATAGCCTATGGATTTTAAGATCAGTTGTATTTTGTTTCATTACTGATGTACCATAGAGCTGATAACTGAAATCTAAGCTAAGATATAACCTATCATAGTTCAGAATCCTGCCCAGAACATATTTTGGCTGTTAATATACAGTGCATATTTTTGGCACATGCCTGCCTATGGAATCATCTTTGAATAAAGTGAAATTCTTTTGTTTTTTTAATTTAAGTTTTATTTTAGCTGGGTATAATGGTTCATGCCTGTGGCCCTAGCTGTTCAGGAGGCTGAGGCAGAAGGATCACTTGAGCCCAGGAATTCGAAGCCAGCCTGGACAACATAGTGAGACCCCCATCTCAAATAAAGAAATTTTAATTTCAAATTTTTTAAACAGTTTTAATTTTAAGAATCTCCAGGAGTACAGAGTCTTTATTCAGGAGAGCCTTTTCTGTTCATTATAATCTGGTTTGCCAGTTTCTACATCTTGATATTATACTTTTTCTTATACATCCAAATTATCAAGAGAGAAGCCTTTGAAATCACTGAGTATAAGTCAAGATGTAAAAATAGTGATTATCATTTTCCTTCAGAGGTTATGCTTTTAGGAGAAAACTTCATAAATTTCTTTCAATATGGCATTGAAAATTTTTAATGAGCTCTTTACTTTTCTCTCAGTAGAACCTGGGATTTCAAAAGAAAAATTTAGGGCTGGATTTGTAGCTCAGTGGTAGAGCCTAGTATGTATGAGGCACTGGGTTCAATTCTCAGCACCACATTAAATAAATAAATAAATAAAACAAAGGTATTATGCCCATCTACACCTAAAAATATATTTTAAAAAAGAAAAGTTAATACTAGTCAATCATTTTAATGCTTTGGGAAACATTTACATTTTTTTAAAATTGCCTTTCTTTATGAACAGAGTTCAAGGATCTCCTGATTTATGTGTGTTTGGTTTTCTTGGAAAAGTGAGAAGTTATATTAGCCATATCCAAGTAGTATGCATGGCTTTGTGAAATAACTAGCTAAGATCAGGAATTTAGCATATCTGTGGAATAGAACAAATTTAATTGCCCTATTCAGAGTAAAGGAACAGTAATAAGTCATAAGGCCCCTGTTCTTTCTAACCATATGTAATCACTGCTGTAAATACTTCTTTACTTCTCTAGCAACTTATTGAAACCTCAGTTGTATGATTTACATTTTAATTACAGCATCATTTTCTTTGCTGTCCCCCTCTGACTGCTGGATAGAACAAAATTGCTTGTAGGAAAAAACCTTTTCCATACTCCCATTCCTAGTTCTCGCTTCCCAGTGTTGAGTTTATTCTGAATGCGAGGGTAAAAATTACTGACAGATTTATCAGCATTTTTCAAGATGTGCAAATAAATTGTAAAACAAGATCTGAACAGCTGTAGCTCCACTTCTGGGCAATATTGAAGAAGAACTTAAAAGTACCCTGTGTGTTAAGAAAGCAGAGTGACTGAGTCCACACTAGCAATGTATGTGGGTGTACGATACAGATTTAAATATTCTACCAATCCTTATATCATAGCCAATAAGGTGAAGTTGTGAAATTATAAATTAAACTATACTTGCTGCATAATAGAATGAGATTTTAGATGTTAATAGTATGATGTACATGGTGTAAAAAAATAATACTCTGCATTCTTTTTAATCTAGCTCATGATTGATACACCTACCAGTCCAATTACCAGTGGACTTCCATTATTTTTTGTGATAACAGTAACCGCCATAAAGCAGGTATGAAATACTTTCTATTATTGTTGTTTTCATTCAATTCATTTAGAAATTGCTAAATCTTTCCACAACAAAGTAACATTTATTATCCTGAAAAGAACTCCATTTCTAAGAAAGCAATAAATTTGTTTAATATATAATAAAATTAAACTGTTAGCCAGTCTATTATATTTCAGGTACCTGATGACTGATAAATGATTACTATTATTAAAATATTGCTCCTTTGACACAGCTAGGAAGCATGTTAAAAACAAATACTATATGTACAAGCCAATTTATATATGAAACAATTTATTATAATCATCTTAGTAGAATCTGGTGATATTTGAAGAAAATTAGTTTGAAGGAATATGTTTACAGGTAGTAAAACGCGTACTTCTGGATTGAACATTTGTGAATAAAAGTTGTATAGTGCTTTCTTAGTTTTTACAACTATTCTTTTATGTAAAGTAGCACCCTAACGAAAAAAGTTTCAGCCAAATTATGAGTTTACATTAAAATCTAGGTGTAGAGACACAAAATTATTGGATAAACATACTAATTAAGAAATAAAGTCTTCTTTAAAATATCATGTTGTTATAGCTAGCACTCTCAAAAAATCTTGACAGGATCTCTGATTATACAGAGATGTGATCCCTACCAACGGAGAGAGTTAATTGACTTTTCTTATCTAAATGTGATGAACTTTCATTTTGTAATATATAGGGCTGGGCACAGGGTAATCCCAGTGGTTTGGGAGGCTGAGGCAGGAGGATTAGGAATTAAAACCCAGTCTCCAAAACTTAATGAGATCCTGTCTCTAAATAAAATGTTTAAAAAAGGACTGGAAATGTGGCTCAGTGGTTAAGTGCCCCTGGGTTCAATCCCTGCTACCAAAAAAAATAAGAAGAAGAAGAAGAAGATGTAGAGATAAGGTATAGATGGACATGAAAATAAAATTGACAAACACTTTGGGATGAAGTATGTTCTTTATCATGTAAGGAGGATAAGAGGAGTCTATGGATTAACAATTAAATTATGAATCTAGTGTAGCAAAGAATATTGAGCCACAGCTCTTAGTTTGATTTCTTTCTTTACTCTTCTATCAAGGAATAGAATTGGTGCATATAATTCAGTAAGCATTCAAATCATTCTGTACAGTTTTCCAGATGTCATTTTTCTCATCAGAGTAACACATATTCATCCCTTGTACCTCTTTTATATATATATATATACTTTCCTCTTAAGTGATTTCATCTAGTCTGGTGATTTAAAGTAACATCTGTATGTTGATAGTTCTCAAATTTATATCTATCTTTAAACTATTATTTGAACTTCCAACACATGTACAACTGTTTACACAACAGTTCTGTTTATTATGTCTTACAAGAATCTGAAACAGAACTCTTGATGTTTTTCCCTCTAACGCTTATTTTAAAGTTTATTAATGGCTCTGCCATCTCTCCACCGCAAACCTTGGCATCTCCTTCTTTGACTATTTTTGTCCCTAGCTTCAAGATCTACCTCATTAGTCTAAGTTATCATGATCTCTTCCCTGGACAATTGCATTATTCTTCAAATAGTTTCTCACTTCTACTCTTGCTCTCCTGCTGTTTCCATACAATAGCCAAATTGATCTCTTAAAATCAGATAATACCACCCTCCCATTTAAAACTGTGCAGGGTTTCTTGTCTGACCAAAACACAATCCATTTCAATGATCTACACAGACATACAGTCTAGTTCCTGGTTCTCTTTATTTCCCATTGTTTTTACATTTACTCACTGTCCTCCAGCCGTACCCTTCTCTTTGTCCTCAAATGCAGTAAGCATGCTCCTATCGAAAAGCTTTATGACTTGCTGCTGTACTCTTCCTGGAAAGTTTTTCTACCAGGTAATTGCATGGCTCAATTCCTCATTTTACTTAGATACTTGAACTTTGGCTTTTCCTGGTCATAGCATACCATTCCCTAATGTTTTTTTCCATCTTTTTTCTTCATATCATTTATTCTGACTTGGTATTCTGTTGAATTAATGTTTGCTTAAAGTTTATCATTTTCATTCAAATGTTTAGCTCTCTAAGGACAGAGACTGTTTTATATACTGGCTTATTTCCAGTGACTGAATGAGACCATACACCTCTATGGGCTTTTAAATATTAGCTGAATAAATGAATAAATTAACCTATTGAATATTTTTTAAAGCAATGTAAAATGTTGTTATATGTCTTGTCCTTATTTCTCAGTATATATTGGCCAAATATGAACTGCATTTAATTGGAATTTGATACCATTCATGAAGTGAGTTGAAAAAAATTATGGTATATACCTATCCATAAAACGATCATTTAGTATAATTACAATAATAATTGACATCCTGTCTTCTTCTAAAATGGGTTAGGTAAAAATGCATAAAATCTAAAGTAGGAAACAGGGAAATTATACTTCAAACTTGAGTTAGTATGGTTATTGCTGTTGTGAACTAAATTTTTTTTTTTAATTTTTTTTTCATTGTAGATGAACACAATACCTTTATTTTGTTTGTTTATTTTTCTGTGGTGCTGAGATTCAAACCCAGTCCTCACACATGCTAGGCAAGCACTCTACCACTGAGCCACAATCCCATCCCCTAGAACTAAATGAGAATTTCTTGACACCTAATGCAAAAGAGGAAATATATAATTTTCAAAGAGAAAATTTAACCTATAAGGCTTTTCTGCCTTTCTCAAAGCAAATTTCAGGACTTGAATTTTTCTATTTTGTAATAACTATTCCTAAGTTTACTCATTTAATAAACAAAGAAAGTACTTTCTTCGATGTATTATTCAGTTTTTATGTCTGTCACTATAAATCGAGAGAAGAAATTTAGAAAAATTATAGAAGTGAAAGTTGCTATGATCCAACCTTATTGGTATTCTTTTCTTCTCCCTTTTTAGTTTGCTTTTGCTTTTTTCACTTTTGCCAAAATAGGAAAGACTCTATTACCAGTTGTTTGTTTTTAAATTTTTCCCATCTGTATATACCTGTCATGTATTCTCAAGATATAGTGCTCTGGTAAATAAGATGGTCTCTACCTTTTAGGAGCTTTAACTCCATGAAGTAGGAAGGTAAGACCAAATACAAAAATAACCACATAGAGTGGTAATAAGATATGCTAGACATGACTGTTCAAAAAAGTGATGTAGCACTTCATCTGGATGATCAAGGAGGATTCTGTGGAGGAATGTTATTTAGATGAGTCTTAGAACATGGATAAAATAACAAATGAAAAATGTTAAGGTAGAAATAAACTCAAAGACTCAAATGAGAGAAAAGACAAGACCTATTTTGGGGAATTATAAGGCTAATTAATGTTTGAGCCTCTTTAGGAAAATACTAAGAGGTAATAGTAGAAATTAACATAGATACTAAATTAAGGAAGATACAAGATTCTTGCTCTAAGGTTTGGGAGTCACCAGGGATTTTGAGCAGGATAGTAAATTAAAACAATGTTGTAGGAAGATTGATCTGACAATAATACGTACAAGGAACTAGAATTTATAAACTTATATTAGAAAAGATATTGCCTTTATTATTATAGCTTTGCTGTTAATGTCTTCCAACTATAAAAGTGTACTTTTTGACGGTTTCAGAAAAGATGTTTTGACTCCATTAAATTTTTCTCACATTGACATATCTTAGCTTAAATAGGGCCAATATAACTTAGCCTGTCTATCTAAAGTGTTCATATAGGTAAGGATATTTTCCACAAACGATAATATAAAACATAGTCTATAATTCTATACCTTACTTTCTATCACTTAATGTTATCTCTTAAGTATCATCTCATTATCTGTACTTATACTTTACCTTGAGTCTTTGATTAAATAACACAGAAAGTCTTTTCTACTTAAAAAAAATTATATTCCTTAACATCAAAAGATTCTTGGTGAAATATTTGTCTGTTTCCCTTTCTAGTAATGACCCATATAGCCTACCCTGTTTTTAATGGTACTACAGATTGAGCATTCTTTATCTGAAATGGTTGGGATGAATTACTTTGGATTTCAGGGGTTTTTTTTCAGATTTTTGGGATATTTGCATGTGCAAAATAAGATACCCTGGGGATGGGACCCAAATCTAAACATAAAATGTATTTATGTTGTATATTCACTTTGTACTCTTGGCTTGAAGACAACTTTATACAGTATTTGAGATATTTTTGCACATGATGTTTTACACATGAGATCAGGTGTGGAATTTTCCACTTGGGGCATCATGTCATTACTCAAAAAGTTATGAATTTTGGAGCATTTTGGGACTCCAGTTTTCAGGTTAGGGATGCTCAACCTGTAATTATAATTAATTCTTTTGGTCTATTGTTTAAAAAAGTGAACAGAGTCAATCTCAGTTTCAAAATCTTCTTTTTCTTCTGTTTATAGTCTTTAATAATACAGTGTGAATTTATGTTTTGTAATTAAAATAAAATATTATTTGTACATTAAAGTGATAGAATTTAGTGATGGAATAGTGTTAGGAAAATAGGAGTCAAGAATATGACTTTGCAAGGTCTGGGGATATAGCTCAGTTGGTGTAGTGCTTGCCTTGCGTGCACAAGGCCCTGGGTTCAATCCCCAGCACCACAAAAAAAAAAAAAACAAGAATGACTTTGTAGATTTTTGGCATGAGTAGCTGATAGTGACATTTGTTAAGTTAGGAAATATGGAAAATGCAACAAATTTGGGGGGAAATATCCTAAATTTAGTTTGTAAGATATTTATGAGACATCAAACTGGAGATAATAATGCAGTTAGATATTAAGTTTGGAATCCAGAAGGATATGAATTAGAGATAGAAATTTCAGAATTACCATATATTTTGTATTATATGAATACACAGAAATAGTGAGAATGAAGTGTGAGAAAAGGGTCCACAAAGGTAATGTGGACCTCCAATAAGGAAATGGAGAAGTAGCTAGAGAGAGCCTATGAAAACAGGAACCATGTATATCATGAAAACCAAAAGAACAGAGTATTTCTAGTAAGAACAAATGTCAAATATCTGGTGAATGAAATTTTTTTTTATTCTTTTTTTTTAAGAGAGAGAGAGAGAGAATTTTTTAATATTTTTTTTTTAGTTTTCAGTGGACACAACATCTTTGTATGTGGTGCTGAGGATCGAACCCGGGCCGCATGCATTCCAGGCGAGCGTGCTATCGTTTGAGCCACATCCCCAGCCCTGAAATGTTTTAAGGAAGTTTTCACAATGTTTTTCTTACTTGATCAAAATGGTTTTAAAATTATACTGAAAGGGGTATTTTTTTATTCTTTGTATATTTACAGGGATATGAAGATTGGTTACGACATAACTCGGATAATGAAGTAAATGGAGCTCCTGTTTATGTTGTTCGAAGTGGTGGCCTTGTGAAAACTAGATCAAAAAACATTCGGGTATGTATCTAGTAAATAATAGAAAATAGTACTTTGATATTAGAGCATTAATTTCTATCTTGATTATACTTTAGTACAACAGGCTTTAGCCTGTTTTTTCTACATAAATGTAATATGATAGGGTCTGGGGTGCAGCTCAGTGGTAGGGTGCATGCCTAGCATGCTGGAGGCCCTGGATTTTACTCCTAATACCAAAATAATAAGAAATAAAATAAAGTGAAATACTCTGATAAGGTACTTATTTAGAATCTAATAAAATAAGTCCTTACCTTTTAAAAATCTGTTTACTCAGCTTTCCCCCCAAATTTTTCATAGGTGGGTGATATTGTTCGAATAGCCAAAGATGAAATTTTCCCTGCAGATTTGGTGCTTCTGTCCTCAGATCGACTTGACGGTTCATGTCATGTTACAACTGCTAGTTTGGATGGAGAAACTAATTTGAAGGTTTGTTCATATATATGTTAGAGTGCTGCTACTTGATGAACAAAATAGCTTTGTGTTATTACTGATATTTTCCTTTGGTTAAGTAATAAAATTTGATCTGATGAAGGAGAAATTTTTTTAAATTACTGAAACTTTTAAAAAAGCATGATTTTTAAAAAGAATAAGTGTTATTATGTATCTATTTTAAGAGTAGCCCAACATGGTTTAGTCAATTCAAGCTGAAAATGGAAAGTATATTTTAGGAAAAATATAGTCTTATTATTATTTGTGATGATTATTTTTTTGTGTGTGTATATACACACCAGGGATTGAACTCAAGAGCACTCGACCACTGAGCCACATCCCTAGCCCTATTTTGTGTTTTATTAGAGACAAGGTCTCACTGAGTTGCTTAGCACCTCAAAGTTGTTGAGACTGGCTTTGAACTCGTGATTCTCTTGTTTCAGCCTCCCAAGTTGCTGGGATTACTGGCGTGCATCACCATGCCTGGCATGATGGTTTTTTATCTAAGGGACAACTTTAAATTTTTTCAGTTTTCAGACTACAGCCAAGAGTGAAAATTCACATTTTTTTCCCTGTTAAATTGCTTATAATAAACTTTGAACAGTAGTGACTGTATGCACACACTTCATCTCCTTGTATGTAAATGGCCTCCATAGACAGGTAATCTCAGCAACCCCTTTCTTCTTTCCCTTCTGTTTTATTATCTAGCTGAGTTATCTCAAGTACAGTAGGTTTTATCTGTAAAAGAGATTTGAAGTACCTGATATCTAAAGTCACATTTGGTTACAGTTTAATCCTTTTTTCCCCCTAGACACATGTGGCAGTTCCAGAAACAGCAGTATTACAAACAGTTGCCAATTTGGACAGCCTTATAGCTGTAATAGAATGCCAGCAACCAGAAGCAGATTTGTACAGGTATGATGTTCAGTGTACTCATTGTAAATCCCATTAATAGACTTCGTTTTTTGGTTTTATAACCATAAGCAGAAAATCAAATTTTTATCTAATTAGTAATATTATTTATGGAGAAGGTAAAGGAAGGGTGAAATTGAGGACAGCAATTGGGGAGGGGATAAAAGCAGTTTTTACCAGAATTCTAAGCAGAAGATATGAATTTAAAAGCAATACTTTTATTCACATGCCTTCCGTTATCTTCTACTTCTACTGTTATGAACCAGCATGCTCACATATAGCTCTAAAATCTATAGAGCTACAGAAGTAGTATTATTGCTTTTAAGCCCTCATAGATTTGGGGCTTTAATAAATATACTGACAAATTACAGAAGCATTGTAATTGGACTGATTTTTATCACATAAGCAAAGTAAAAGTTTATGAGATTTTTTTGTTGTTTCAGATTTTTACTAGCATTAAGTATTATAATTTTAAAATGTTTACTAATTTTATAGCTAATGATTTTAAACTATATTTTTTATCAGAAAGGTTAAGTCGTTTTCCATGCTTGTTTTTGTTTTTCTCTCTTAAATTGTGCTTCTTTCCAATTGCCTATTTATTAATTGGGATTACATTATTCCTCTTTAAGAACTTTTAATAGTTTATTGAAAGTAACTCATGTGGTAATGAGTGATCTGTGCTAAACTACTGAAAAATAGTGCTCCTTTGTATTTAGGAGCAGCCTCTAGCATGTGCCTATTTCACAGAAGTCTTCGTTTTCTCTTTTTTTGGCTGCTTTAGTTCTCTTTGTTTTCTTTCTACCCATTTATATTTTAGACTTTTACATAGCTCTTCTATATTTAAGATTTTTCCCTAATAAAATAACATTTTGCTTCTAGGAATCTATCTTAATGAAAATGTGAAAGGATATATATATGCAGTGTTATTCAGTCAGGACTATATTGTTTAGGCTGTTCATAAGTTGAGAAATAAACCTAAACTTCATAGTAGTGGTTTAAGTAAATTATGCAATAACCAAGAAATGCAGTACTGTGTGTGGCTATTAAAAATAATGATGTAGATATGCTTTTGATTGGGCATGTTAAGTTGGGAGAAAAATGTTAATATCACTATTTATATTGTGATCCTGTTTTTGTTTTTAAGATATATACATACATGCATACGAATATAAAAAAAACCTGGAAAACGTACTCCAAAATATTAGCAGTATTTGTATTTGGTAGTGGGATTACCAACATTGTGAGTTTTAAAAATATTTTCTTAATTGTTTTATAAAATATTCATATATTTGAGTATGTATGTAGCTTTTGTATTTGAAAGGGGAATAATAAAGTGATTTTGAAGAACATCAAATGTGGATTTGAAACAAAGGATAAAGAAGACACAAGATGGATTGGGCCAGTGTGGAACTGACCTGAACAGATAACTTAGAAGTGCCTAGAATCAAGAATAACAGAACAGGGCTGGGGATGTGGCTCAAGCAATAGCACACTCGCTTGGCATGCGCGAGGCGCTGGGTTTGATCCGCAACACCACATAAAAATAAAATAAAGATATTAAAAAAAAAAAAAGAATAACAGAACAAATAAAAAGAAAAGAAACAGCTCCTTTGTTGGAATTTAGCTAAGGGAAACAAAAGTACTGATCACACATCATCTCTGAAACGTGTCTAGAGAAACACTAGCTGAATTTTTTTTTTTTAATTGTTTTGTTTTTTTTGTGGTGCTGGGGATCAAACCCAGGGCCTTGTGCATGTAAGGCAAGCACTCTATTAACTGAGCTATATCCCTAGCCCAAATTGTTTTCTTTGAATCTAAATTCAAAGTCTAGGAGTCAAGACTACATAAAATTCCACTATAAGTGGAGAAAATAAGAACAGTACTTCGCATTGACATAAACTGACAAAAATAGAAACAAGAAACTGGAAAGAAACAATGAAGTCAAAGTCTCCAAGGGATAAAGGATCTGTGACTTGGAAACAGAATCATAGGGGACATTTGAAAAGGGAGTACTTAATATTTCTTTGCCTAAAGATTAACATGATACTTTGTCTAGAATTTGCTTCAACTCAGAATTTGCTTCTTACTATAGTAGAAATAACTGTGTTCATGAATTGACTCCTTGCTCTGGTGATGTTTTGGTGGTAGATGGGATTGAAAGGCCCAGCCGGAAGTCCATTATAGAATGGTTTCACTCTAGATTTCAAGCAATGGACACTTTAAATATAACTGCAAGGCTAAAGAAGTCCAGAAGTTCACTGATAGGTTTTTTGCTTACTACTCTATCCCTACCATATAACTCATACATTAAATAGTTGCTCAGTGAATATATGTTGAATGAATGAATGTATAAGCTGGTTCAGTGACATATAGTCACAAGAGTCATTAGTCAATTATAATGAAACATGTAGACATTCATTGTTGGCTAAGTAACATATGCATTTTTGTGTAAAAACTATAAATTCTCATGATGATCAAACAAATAATAATAGTAAAAACATAGCATTTATATTTTGAAAATTTTTTAAATTTATTAATTACGTGGAGTAGAAAAGGCAAGATTACTAAGTGTTTTAAAGCAAAAGGACTATCTTTATAATTTCTAGCATGAATATTGAACATTCATATATGCAAAAGGTTCATTTTTGTTTTATATATATGCAACTAGTGCTAAAACTAAGGTGTTTCACCCATTGATTTATAAGTAATATATTTTTGTAACATAGTGCATTCTTTTATAGATTCATGGGACGAATGATAATAACTCAACAAATGGAAGAAATTGTAAGGTAAGAATAAATTCACATTATCTAATTACTCTTAATTGGGAACTCTTTGTGGGAGGGGCTAAAAGGTAAAGGGAGATTAAGTAAACAACAATGCATCAGAAAAGTTTAATATAAAAGCATTCAGCACTTTATATGCTGGTAATTTATGGTGGCAATGAGTAAAGGTAAAATATCTTAGAAAATGTTATCAAGTAATTTAGTAAGATTTGTATATTTTTATTTCTTTCTTTAATAATATTAGGTAGTACCTTTAAAAGGAAATAGCTGCTGTGTTCAGATCCTTATGTATTTAAAGCCATGCTTAAAGTCAAGAACATGAGGGCTTGGAGGCATAGCTAAGTGGTAGTCATGTGCTTAGAACCCTGGGTTCTGTCTATCCCCAGCACTAAAAAAATAAAGAATGTGAAAAACTTCATATGTAATATTTAGCAAGTATAAATGCAATGGTCTTCCTGACTTCATAATCATGGATTTCAAACTGGAGTATGTAGGGACCAGTCCAGGACCATTCATTCACTCTTCTATTGGTTATTTGCTTGGTTGATTGTTTTGATTTGTTTTTCCTCAAAATTCAGGTTAATTTTTGGGATTTAAATGAAAGACTTTGGGTCAGTTCAAAGATTAGCTGGTAGAAAGAAATTACATAACTTTAAAACTTAATTTAGAATCAATGTTGGAATCAACCCTTGAATTTCTAATCAAATTTGACATGCCACCTCTTTTGGGGGGACATGTTCATTTATATATATATATATGTGTGTGTGTGTGTATTTTTTAGTTGTACTTGGACACAATACCTTTATTTTACTTATTTTTATATGATGCTGAGGCTCAAACCCAGCACCTCACACGTGCTAGGTGAGTGCTCTACTGCTGAGCCACAACCTCAGCCAAGATATATTCATTTTATACTAGCTGCATGAAATAAGTCACTAACAGAATGAATTGGGCATTTTTAAAATGAAATCCTAAAGACAAGCCACCAAAAATTCATGCATCAGCACTGATTCACATTTTTAATAAATTTTAACACAGAACCACATTCTGTAAACTTTAATAAGATCTTGATATGTGTAAGATCCCTGCTGAATAACTGACTGGGTTTTATTTTTATTTCTATAGTGAAATAATGAAAAAATATGTGGATTCATCATCTTCATTAACATTAAGATATTGTGGCTGGTAAAGGAAAGTAGCAGTTTTGTGACTTCAGCTCCTAGTGGCCAAAAAATGAACCACTTTCTTTACTGTAGCAACTGGAGTCAACTGATGAATTACCTTTTAATCTGAAGCTGTCATTTTAGCCCAATTTTGTATACCAGTGTCAACTCAAAAGATTTCTATCCATTGTTAAATCCAATATTAAGTGCAAAAGAATTGTTGTATAACTTCTGAATAGTTAGTTGCAATATTCATAGAGAGGACTCCAAATACGACTATTTAATAAAACCATACTTATTAGCCATATTCCAAACACCTAGTCCTCCTTGGTTCTGTTGCAGTGTTTGGGTTTGCAGATACTTTCATAAATGGTTCAGATTCTGTTCAATTTAGAAAAATATATATTTCAGAAAAGCATAAGGAATATCAACACACTGAAGGTTTTTTTTTTAACTTATCAATAACAGACTCTTCATTTTGCTATCACTACAATTTCCTTTCTAGTTATACCTTGTGGTTTTGAATCTCCTTTATGGAGAGAAATTCAAACAGCAAGAAGACCTGTGCTCCAAGAAGTATTCAGTGCAAGTAGTCAAGTTGTAATGTGCATTCCTGCGTACAAAAGACACTAACAAACTTTCTACATTATATTTTGTAATCCAGCATAATTTTAGTTGTGCAAACTCATGCATTTATACACAAATCATACTATAATCATTTATAATGCATTTTAATTCTGTATTTCCCTTCTAAAGCTGTTTATTAATTTTGCTCAAGTTTTTAAAATTTTATCTTTTACTAAACTTTCTTAAATTACTGCTTTTAAACATTTAAAAAATTTTGAAACTAGTGGCTTTGTGAATTTATTACATGTCTAATTTTATTTTTCAGCCACTAACTTTAAAGTGACGTAAATGCTAAAGCAGGTGTTTGTTGTTATAATAACTAACATCATGGTTGGCCTAGGTAGCAGAGTACCTGGGATTTTGGTTTTATATGAAAGCAGAGTTGTAGCTATAGCTTGAGTACCTCTTACTGAAGATGTCCTTTAATTGAATTGAATTTTTAATATATTCAATGCTCTTTGATGTTCTCTTTTTTCTTAGACCTTTGGGACCAGAGAGTCTCCTGCTTCGTGGAGCCAGATTAAAAAATACAAAAGAAATTTTTGGTCTGTATATATTTTTAAATTTTTAATTATTATTTTGTATTGATATTATTTTGTATTTTTTAAGAATACAGCATGTATGGTCTTTTTGTTAAATAATTCAATTCTTATAATGTTATATATTATAATTTTCTTACAAACATTGAATTAATTTTGTATTTTTTGTTGTTAATCCTTGTTGTGTTTTTTTTTGTTGTTGTTGTTGTTTGAGTAAGAGACTAGAAACTTGCTCTTATACTGTCTTTGTGGATACTTGTAAAATAATGCCAAGAAAATAATTCTGGTATTTCTAGTAATGTGGATGAGAGCTAATATAATCTACCATTATGGTATAGTAAATTATCTCTATAATTCCGTTGTGATTATTTTTAGATTAGATTAATTACTGCTGTCTTATTCATTCATATGTTCATTTATTCAGTGAATTCCTGTTGACCTAACTATAAACCACATATTATTGGGACATATGCTGTCTTTATCAGAATAAATAATAAATAGTGCTCTTGCCTGGGAAAATGAATTTAGTACACTCTGAACTCACTCTAGGCCAACTGTGAGATTCGTGATAATCTTTATGTATCAACTAGTTTCTCCCATTTCAGAATACTTCTTAGTACTCTGGCCCACTGTTGCCCACAGGTTTTTAGGTCTTGCTTCTGATTTTCTTTCTTTTTTTTTTTTTTTTAATTGGTTGTTCAAAACATTACAAAGCTCTTGACATATCAAATTTCATACATTAGATTCAAGTAGGTTATGAACTCCCAATTTTACCCCAAATACAGATTGCAGAATCACATCGGTTACACATCCACATTTTTACATAATGCCCTATTAGTAACTGTTGTATTCTGCTACATTTCCTATCCTCTACTATCCCCCCTCCCCTCCCCTCCCATCTTCTCTCTCTACCCCCATCTACTGTAATTCATTTCTCTCCTTGTTTATTTTCCCATTCCCCTCACAACCTCTTATATGTAATTTTGTATAACAATGAGGGTCTCCCTCCATTACCATGCAATTTCCCTTTTCTCTCCCTTTCCCTCCCACCTCATGTCTCTGTTTAATGTTAATCTTTTCTTCCTGCTATTCCTCCCTGCTCTGTTCTTTGTTGCTGTCATTATATCAAAGAAGACATTTGGTATTTGTTTTTTAGGGATTGGCTAGCTTCACTAAGCATAATCTGCTCTAGTGCCATCCATTTCCCTGCAAATTCCATGATTTTGTCATTTTTTAGTGCTGCGTAATACTCCATGGTGTATAAATGCCACATTCTTTTTATCCATTCATCTATTGAAGGGCATCTGGGTTGGTTCCACAGTCTAGCAATTGTGAATTGTGCTGCTATGAACATCGATGTGGCAGTATCCCTGTAGTACGCTCTTTTAAGGTCTTCAGGGAATAGTCCAAGAAGGGCAATAGCTGGGTCAAATGGTGGTTCCATTCCCAGCTTTCCCAGGAATCTCCATACTGCTTTCCAAATTGGCCGCACCAGTTTGCAGTCCCACCAGCAATGTACAAGAGTACCCTTTTCCCCACATCCTCGCCAGCACTTGTTGTTGTTTGACTTCAGAATGGCTGCCAATCTTACTGGAGTGAGATGGTATCTTAGGGTGGTTTTGATTTGCATTTCTCTGACTGCTAGAGATGCTGAGCATTTTTTCATGTACTTGTTTTTTTTTTT